TTATTATTAGTATTATTGTTGTTGTTATTACTATTTTAATCACATAAAAGGACACTCCAGGGTTTTGTAATTTTGTGATCACAGGGAAAGAGACTCACAGGCAGAACAGAAAAGCTGTACCAAATGATTGCACAATTGGAGGTTACCATTTCTCTTCTGGTAGTTAGAATGTTGCTAAATTAGTATTTTCATCTAATTACTTTTCCCATGTTAAATATTCATACATCAACTCCTGTTGCTTCTAATTGAGGTGGGCACACTTCCTGCCTGCTTCATGGTTTCCTAGCTAAATCACTGATGAAGGAAGCAGCTATTTGGAAAATGTTTGGCTCAACAGGCAAGACTGGATGTTTGAAGGGACTCACTCTGGGACGTGGAGCCTTTTGTGTCCAATTGGGCCCAGCACCTGAGGTGGTGATCAAAGAGCACTCTAGCTGCTGTTAAAAGTTCCTGTGAAAGGAGCTTGGTGGTGTAAGTCCAGTGGAGAGATGTTACTTGAATCTCCATCCAGATCAGACACTGGGCAGGTCACAGTGTCACAGTGCAGTGAGAAAGTCTGGTAAGATTGCACTGCATTTGCCAGGGAGAAAAAACCTGAAGGTTTCTGAATCTCAGGACAGTCAACTTGGTACTTTCTAGAGGCCTCTCCGTATATATTCACGTGGTCACTACTTTTCTTCCCCAGTCACTTCAAATCCTTCTTTTATCCTGGAGAGCCAAAATAGCACTATTTCCAGGCAGGTGAGACCAATGACCTCCTGTCTTCAAAACAGTCACGACAGTTCAGGCCAAAGTCTGAGCTGAGTATACAAACACAGTCTAAGCAGCCACTGATCTTCCAAGAACTGTTACCCTGCCTGCGCAGATACCCCTGTGTATTCTGTCACCAAGCAATCAAACATGGAACAACACAGAGGGCCCTACACAAAGATGAAGTCTAAACACCCTACATCTTTCAGATCCAGCTGCTGTCAGATCTTTGCCATCCAGTTCTGGTGACCTGGCTGTGTCCTAGATGTGACAGTTGTCACATGGATTCACATCAGATAAAGCTACAGACCCTCACAAAGATGCATAAATTCAGCATATGCTGAGAGAAGCAATGGCTGTGGCAAGCAATTCATAATTTTAGGCGTGATTTCAAGTGGGGAGAGAGGAAAAAAAGGGGGGAAACCTAGTTAAGGATTGTTATTTTTATACTAAAATTAATATACTAATGTGCAGTTAGGTGGTGAAAAATGACTGTCTAACAGCACAGCAAGGTTCCATATTTACTTGCTGTCACTGATTTCAGAGCAAATTGGCTCAGGTTATAAGTCAAAGAAGAATTCTTCTGCTGCCAGCACTGCACACTTCAAGAGGTATCTGAAAATCAGGCTTCTTACCTTATCATTGTTAAAAGACTGCAATCAAAACGTAACTGACAATTCAGCTGATGCATGAGCAGAAATAGATGCCAGCTCACTCTCCCATAGCTAGAGAAACTCTGTAAAGCTAACAGGATTTTAAAAACATTTTGTCAGAAAAATAAGTGGCTATGACAGACCCAGGGAGCAGGCAGAATAATAATTCAGCTATCTAATGCTGGATATCACAGTGACAGGTGCATTTCAAGTGCTGCGCTATATCATATGGTTGCCCTCTCCAGCAGCCTCACTCCAAGGAATTCAACATGCTTTGCAAACATCAATTAATTTAATGCTTATAACACCAAAGACAGGAATGCTGAGATGCTGGGGTAAAAAGGGTTAAAATAACTAGATCAGCACTGGGAACAGAATACATACCTGCAGATCTCTAGCCTTCACCCTTAGCCACAAGCCCAGCTGTGCCATTTTTCTTAAATAGTTCTAAAGCATGTTTTGGGCTCGATTCTAACAGTGGCCAGATACTCTTCAGGTCTTCCTTGAGTTAGCTTAAGTGTGGAGAAAAATTTTGCAGATAATTCTGAAAACCCTGCAATCCTGCAGTCATTCACATTGGAACCTTGTGGTGCAGCTTTTATTCTAACATTCTAATCATCCTTCCACTCTAGTAGTGTGCTTTGCCCTTTTCCATGGCATAATTCCCAGGGAAATCATCACACATCTGAAATGGCTGCAAGACTAAAACATGTTTACCCCTCTGGAGGGCATGGGATGGGATGTTTAGCATGGCACATCTTATCACAAGCATCACAGATGAATAAATAATGCTTAGGAAAGAACCACAGCTGTTGGGTTTAAGGAAAGGGCTTTCAAGTTGCAATGATTATAAATGACAGCAATCAGAAGACTTTTGTACAAATAAGCTATGTCCAGAACATGGGAGAATCTTGATGAAATTGATGCCATAAGAATAGGATCTGGAGAGCATCAATCACAAGTAGGAACGTAAGACCAGGTCGCCAGATCCAAGTCCAAGTGAGTGGGAACACTGTCTTCCAGTGTATGGAGCAGCCTAGCACTTACTTGGGTAGTGGGCAAGTCTGACCTTTGGGTATGAAGAAGTACAGAAACTGTACACATACTCTCCCAGATGTGAGCTGCCACGTTCCAAGGCAGAGGAGAAAGGAAATTAACTAGGGTGGAGATACAGGAATTTTTCTGCCTGTGATTTTCCTGACATCAAGGCAGACATTGGGGAGGGATGCTAGCTCTCGGCTGTTAAGAGAAGCAGAATGCTATGTAGGAGCAGAAGGTGAACACTTATTTTGTATTTCTACTTTGATTAGAGAGAGTATTTGATAAAGAGCAGCTCCCCCGCTTCCCCCAGGGTGAGGCTGCTAAACTGAAGGCTAGGCTACAAGTGAGCATCGCATCCACAGCAGGAAAATGTATCACCCTTCAAGAACTTGATTGCTTCTTATCCACACAAACATACTTGAAAATAGCCCCAAAGAGGTTCCTTCCCTCCCACATGGAAGCAGCTGCAGAGAAATCTCAGCTTAATATTGACACCTCCAGCCTGGTGAATACCCGATTTGCCTCCATTACATCTGTAGTTTGGAATAAAAAGATGCATGATGTGACAGGAGGGGGAATGGGCAACAAAGAAGACGACAAACAGTGCCCTGTCCTAATTTCTAAAAGTCTCTGAAGACAAGAGGGATAGAGGGCTGCAGCAATGGATTGCCTAATGCTTCTGTTCTTTACCAGCACAGTTAAAAGGAGGAAAAGCCTATTAAGAGGCTGAAATGTACCGTGTAGCTTCTTTTCTGCAATTGTCTGCAAATCCTTGTGCTCCAAAGCATTTTCCTTGAGAGTGCTCACAGGCACACTACAAACTAGCATAAGTACTGCCAATTGTTTTAGCATGATAAATGCATTTAAAAGCTTTCAATATTTTTGTCTGTTTACAGGCATGCTCCTTGAGGAATTTTGACAAGCTTGCCAGAATGGAAAAGTTGCAAAATGCTTAACTTAGTGATGAAATTAATGAAAATTCTCAAGTAAGAAACCTGGGTATTCTTGGGGCATTGAAAGAGGAAGACAAAGGATGGACAAACTTAAATCACTGCTCCTGACAAAGCGAGACTGGGCAAGAGCAGTGGCTGGTCATATACAGCTTGTGCTAGTACGAGGCACACTGCCAAAACTGCTTCCTCCAGATACCCCAGCAATCGTTAACACAGCTTCCATGCAACTTACAGTATTGCACAACCAGATGTCAGTTAACTCTCCTGGTACTTCTGCAGGAACTAAAGAGACAAGTGCCTCATTTGGGGCAATAAAAGGACTTGACAGTGGCACCACAAGCGGAACACCAAGGTTTCTCCACATGCTGTGGCTAAACTAAAAGCCAGCCCTTCCTCTGCCATCTCCATCAGGGCCACCAGCCCTTGTAATCCAGAAGCCAAACAGGGCTGCTGCTCTTCAAGGTTTTGGCCATCCTAGAATACACGTGATGCTATTTCCACCTTCAAACCTTTACTTCCACACACATCTCACAGCTCTCCAAGGATAATGAGGCCTGTGTAGGAGGCTGTACTCAGTCTCCACACAAAGCAGTAGATCTCCACATCTACGGTCTGAAAGATCACACCCATGTCATGTACTTGATGTAAAGAAGGACTGGGACACCTGGAAAGTACAAAAACAGGAATGGGAGCATTTCTTCAAACTGTATTAGTCCAATCCCTTTGCCCTGAGGAAATAAAGCTTGCAGATAATTTGCCCACTGAGGAACCCTATTCCACCCTAATCTGGATGAGGGACTCTGGGACATAATCTCTGCAAAACAGACTCTTGCGGAAAGAAGCCAAGACACCTTTGTACAGCAAGTATTCCCCAAGGACAGGTGGGAGAGAGCTGCTAAAGCAGATTCTGCTGGCCTTCTCACCGCAGCACAACCTGTGCAGGCAAGGCCAAGCTAGGGCAGAGTGAGCAGAGCAGTGAAATGCTTTGAGTGCAAATGAAGAAAAAAAGACAATTTATATCCCCCAAAGTCAACACGTATCCCACCAGAATGAGCAGGGGAATAGCACTGAAATTATGTAAGTGGCTCACATAAAAAAAGGTAATCTGCTAAAGAGTAAAATTATACAAGCCAGTAAGCAGACAGTATAAAGAGCCTTTAATATTGATTTACTCACTCAATATTTCATGGAATTCACATCTTGCTCAACAGTGGAGCAATGAGAGAGAAAATGCTCAGTTTGGTCATGTCCTGACGTCTACAAGCTTAGACAAATAGCATCGTCAGGTTTGGACTGATTTCATGTTTTAATAAAGACACTGGTTGGTTTTAGCACTGTTCTCAGACACGTTTGGTGCTAGATCTGTACGCAGAGGTGATACAGGCTGGGCATTGAGAGATGCCTCTAGGAATGAGATTCTCAGTAATGGGGTATGGGTAGGTAACCCCTAGGACCTGTGTTGAAAATCTTTCTTCATAAGAATGGAAAGAGATCAAAGCTGTTGCAGATACTTCACTGCACTGCAGAGAAAGGAACTGACATGGACATGACATGACCTTAAAAAAATTCAACAAAATTGCACTAAAATTGATTCAGAACTCACCAAACATGTTACCGATGTGGCCGTTCTTAGTCAACGGTCGCAGTTCATTTTTTCCAAGTGCATATTGTTTGTAGTTATCCCAAGCGAATTTCATCATCTGTAAAAAGAAAAATTGAATGAAAGTGCTTAACAGAACCGAAAGTTTTCTGAACTTCAGCTCTGGGAACAAACGGGAGTTTCCCATTCACTACTAAATCCAGCAACCAATGGCCCATTAATTATAGAACCTTAATTTGCACTGAACACTTATGAATGGGGCTGCATTCAGCAGTTTGCTAAAGTCTCAAACTCATCGCTCCTGGTGCAGAACTTGGGACTGGCACATATCAGAAGTACCACAGTATCCAACACACTGAGATGCCACATTTCCCCTGGGCTGTGCAAACCAAGTGGGAATTTTGGAAGGACGTCTCCATCTCTGAATTTCTGACCTTTTTCACGGAGTATCAGTATTTCAGAATAGTAATTAAAATGGGCTAAAAATGCAAGGCCAAAACTCATATATCCCTAAGTATAGAGATGTTACCTTCTGAGTTTTCACATTTCTTTATGATAGTGATAAAGAAACTTGATCAAACTGCAAAACCACCCACCATCTGCCCGCCTTGCAGAAGTTACACATACAACTTTGGCAAAGCAGCACCATGGAGGTGTACAATGCACTTAATACTGTGGTGAGCAAAGGAAGAAATTGGTCTTTGTTTAAGGACTGCACAGAAATTTGCTTTCTATTAATTAACAGAATACAATCATAAAGGAGAAAGGGGAAATCCATGACATTTTGATATCTTCCTAACAAAACTCAAAAGTGCTTTCTTAAAGAGAGTCCTGCAGGGTGATTTCTGAGAAGCCCATTCCAACTCAAACAATTCCTTTTGGGACATTTAAACTGTCCTGCCCGGGCTCAGCACATTAACCTTTCCCTGAGGACTGCATGGCAGCATGTTTGTGCAAGTTCCAATACACACACACCACCACAGCTTTTTCTGTCCTCCTGCCCCTTTGGCTCCAGCTGGTAGGAAAAATTAAACCTACAAATATCCTCTCTTCAGCTAGGAGAGACTAGGACTTGTCAGCTTCTAAGGAGTGCCTTAAATAAAGCCCCCTTTTATAATCCACACAGCTTGGCTCTGAGCAGTTTCAGCCCCAGCATCACAGTGACCTGTACATTCTTTGATTCAATCCCTGGAAAAAAGTCGGATAACAAAGGGAAAGAAAGCAGCTTCAGAGAATCGACAATATTCTCCACTGCCGCTCAACAAAGATAAGAGTCTTCTAAAATGCTTCACTCAAACAAGACATTTGAGAGAAAATGACAGTTTAAAACAAATCATTCCTCCACAGAGTGCCCCTGTCTAGTGTCTGCAACAGCACTTACTGCTCTATTTCAGGATCAGAATATGCAGGTTACTTTGGTCTGAAATGCCTACTGTCATTTCAGTTCCTACTTTTGTCCTTCCCTCCAGCTGTGTGTTTCACAAACCCAACATCATTGCAAGCCTCTGGCAGTATCTTCCTTAATTAGCGCACATACACAAAAAGCCACATCACCAGATTTCCCCCCCCTGCTTTTTAAACATCAGGCTTCCAAAGTAAAGTTTCAGAGAGCTGGTCATATGGACAAGGATAAACATTTGCTGAACTGATTGATAACACTCAGACTCCAACACCACCAGAGGAAGGAATGTTGGACAAACAAATAAAGTCAACTTGGGTTTTAAAAACTCAGTGTGGGATGAATTAGTCACTGGAGTGCTCTGCTCCAAGGAAACTAAATAATGACCAGGGAAAAAAGAAAAAAAAAAAAAGAAAAAAAGAAAACCCTCCACAAAATTCACTCAGACATGCCTCAATTATATGACTTGGGGTGTTCATTTTATTTTCACTGGATCCCTGTTTTTTTCTTCTGTGGCAGCATTATTCTAAATGGGAAGTTCTCATTCTTCATGAATGTAACAGGGCAAATCTTTGAAGAACTCCTGACTCTCTCTAATGGTACCAATCAAATGCTTTTATGTCTCAGAGCTTGATCCTGAAGTTTACTGCAGGAAAGATGGTGTTTCCATAAAGACAGCTTTCCCACAGTGAGCGACTGGGCTCATACACTAGAAAGGAAACAGCTAGGCAATCTATTCGGTTCATTTCTCTTCTAAATCAGAGCTGAGAAAGGAGGACCCAGCCTTCTGGCACACAGAAAGCCTAGACATGGAGAGGATGTGGAAATGACTCTATTTAGTTGCATAAAACTCCTAACGTTGTAATTCTGAACTAGCTTCATTTTAAGCTGAGTATGAAATCTAAAGTTATTTCCTTCCCTCCACTTTTTTAACCTCTCCATTTCAGAAGGTCCAATGTTTCTTCTTCAAAGTATGCAAGATCTCTGCCACACTCCTGCAGATGACTGTCTGGGACCCAGAGTTCACCGACACCTCTATCACAGGCAAGAAAACTACCCTGGGTTTCCCTCCAACAGCCGCTTATGTCCTACAAGGGAAATCTCCTCCTCTCCTTCTGTCTTCTCACACAAGGAGGGACTACGTGAGGCCTGCTGACAGACTCCCTGAAGTGACTCACTTCACACAGGACTCCCAAGTGCTATTTGAATAAATACTTTTATTCTTAATTTGCCTATTCAACCATTTAAGCTGCATTTGTCACGGTGTTGCAGAAAGTTCCACTACAAAATGATTTCTTAGGCTGTGCCGGCTGCAGTGTCTTAAACTCTCCTTCTGTGTTCTGTCCTGAGCTGATAATCAGGCAGACAGAGGATGGATGAGATTGGATATGCTGCCTCGTCATACTAAAGGGCTGTCAGTTTTCCTTTATGTGAACAGAATTCTGCTCACTGCTTTTAAACCCTGTATATTTGGGAGGCAAGATGCATAATGTGGTACCCTTTCCTCTTCCAAGATCAAGCTTTCCTCTCTCTAATGATGGGTTCAAAAGCAGCAACTGGAAAAGTTTAAAAGCCAAAAGCATCTGCGCCGTTCTGCCCATTCTGGCTTTCTGCAGCTGTCTTTCCAATCCAAATTTAGCAGTTCAACTTTCAAACCACTAAAGAGATTCATCAAGTTTCTAAAAGTGGGGACTCCACATTTATATACTGTACAGAGGACTGAGATGGAGCTTTCAGAAGCTGTCTCTGACAGAGGTTCCAAATGCCAAGCTGAAACACAAGAGGATGTAGCTGAGAGGTGCAAAATGGAAATTTGCATAGTGAGGTGTTTAAGTCCACTTTCTGATGAGACACCAAGGTTAGAAGTGAATATTTGATGCCATTCTAGTCATGACAAATCACAATACGTCAGCATTAACATTATGCCATTTTAGATTTGAAAAAATGGCACCAGAAACACAAAAATTATGGAAATAGATCCGTAATTTTAGATTTTGTTCCTACCAGTATGCCATCTGCCATCTAATAGACAATTATCTATTTGGCCCAGAAATTCTAATCACCCTGGATTTCAGCTGATTTATAGCAGAGACTTCCAAATTTACAATTGAATTTGTCAGATTGCTCTTTCTTTTCTATAATCTGTAAGTCACTTTTTACTTTCTAGATTTTCAGCTACCCAGCTAGACGATTATATATGAAAATCAACTACAAGTAACTAAACTGAATTCTGAAAACCCACACTATCACTTTCATAATTTAGGCCATTACCTTTTCTTGTGCTTTGCTCCATCCAAACCCAAAAAAGATCTTGCTCTCAAGCCCACGTGTATTTCATATGGGCAGCAGCCTGCAGCCACACAGAGCCAGGCACTGAATGCAGTCCGGCACCGAGCTGTTTGCTGGTTCAGGGTCTTCAACTACATCTCTGCAGGTTCACAACATTGCAGTATTTAGATTGCACAAAACCAGTGTAGAACAAGCCTAGCTTAAAACTGCTTTCAGTGCATTTTTTATTTGATGAATGGAAATATTTTTATTTAGAAGTCAGCTTTATAAGTACTCTCCTTTAAAATACTGAGCCAAACACTAAATGTTTTTGTCCCTTCAAATACTGCAGCAGGAAATCATACAAGTATTTAATGTTTTCACTGATACCCCAAGCTTCTCCATCTGCTAGACCTAAGAAGCACACCATAACAGCACCTACTCGGCTACCACAGCTTTGCCTATTCTCTCATTTCCATTTGCTCTTGACATGTCTTAACAAGAACTCTTATGTTTTCAAAGATCAAATATGCCAAATCACACAATAAAAATCACCACTCCACACTCAGTAAATAAAAGCATCAACAAAGCTGATAACACCCCCTCCTCTTGGCACACACTACATGACATACTACAGGAGGGCACCACAGCTCCTCGGTCTGGCAGTGCTTTTATGATGCCACCCAGGCTGTAACATGGGAGATGCTTAACAGCTGGGATTTACAGCTTTCACCCATTTGTATTACAGTCTTCATTTTCAGAGTGCCACCACTTTACTGATTTTCAGGGAACCTGAGGTTATGGAACATCACACTCCAGTGGAAAGGCAGTCGGGAAGAATTCAGAACAAAAAGGCGTTTAGCGAGTTCTGTGATCCAGATAATGAAGAAACAGGGCTCAGAATAAAAACTTGACCAAGGAAGTGTTTTCACGCTGAAGAGATGTGCAAATCTGATGTCCTTTAATATATGTAATAACTAAACCACTGAAAATCCCTAGGTTTATGTACTTGCAAAAAGCAGAGAGATGAGAGTTAAAAAAAAAAAAGAAAAAAAATCCCTCACACTGTCACTTGCCCTCCTTTTGTTAGCAGGGAAGATTTCAAAATGCAGAGCATTCCCAAACAGCTATTTGATTAGTTTTATCCATCTAGGCTGGGATAATTAGTAAATGCTTAAAAGATGAAATCTAAATATACCAACCAATCAGACCCTTTCAAGAACTTCCAAGGAACATTACACAAAGCCATTATCTTCATAAGATAACCACTTTTGTGGCTCTTTAGCCTCCTTTCTTCAACTCCCCTTCAAATATTTAACTATTAAGCTATCTAAGAAATTTCCGGTTTGGGTTTTCGAAAAGAAAAAAAAGAAAGAAAAAACAACAAAAAAAAGCATGTAATTTTCAATATTTCTTTCCCTACTGTATTTCTT